GAAACCAAGCTGGCTTAGAAATAGATTTCTTGAGACCAAGGTGAAAATCATACTTTTCTCGTAGGGGCTGTGGTAGATAATGCCTGGCTTTTGAGACTATGAATCCTGGCTGACTTTGTTATCTTAGTAATTACATTTCACAACAATGCAAACTCTCCTGCCTGGGCCTGGGTGAAAACTTCCCTTGCTGTGTTAGCGGGAATCTCGGAATGAGGCCGCCAGGCCCCTTGCTTATCACCCACTATTACATGCCCAGTGGGATGATGGGAAGCGGGCTAACATTTTTTTGATAAACCTAGTTACATGCAGCTATGGGATTAGCTTAAGAATGAAGCTTCTGGAGCAGCAGGAGTAGCAAAGTAAGTGTTCATGTCTCCTCAAATCGTTTGTGTTCTGCTCAGCAAGGCTCTTGGAGGCATTCTGAACTGAGAGCAGAGCAACCTTTCTCCTCCAAGACAAGGGACAGTTCCTTCTTCTCATGAGCAACATTTCTCTTTGCTGCCAGCTGTGGGTTATTGGGGGAAAGGGGAAGACATTTATAGTGATGGTGGTCATGGCATTCATACCTTCCTGTGAACAGAGTTTTGATATGAGGACATTTCACAAGAAGAAGTAAGCAAGCAGAATTTATTCCAAGTGAGAGACTCACATATGGACATTCTGAAACTGGTTCTGGATGGCCCACCACATGAGTGGTAGGAGCTTTTTTCTATTGCCGGTACAGCGGAACTGTTGGCATAGTCAGCTCTGGCTATCTCTTTACTGTATTTACGTCTAGGAGAACAAGGTGACTCCTTCACCAATGGCATCTAGTGAGAGACTATGCTGCAGGGGGTATTTATGCCACACTCACTGAAAAATCTGGCCTAGATTCAGATTTCTGTATTCCCATGACTCACTTTCCCAGCTTTTGAAACTCCCAAAGTCAGAGACTCCACTTCTGGCACCTAGAACAGAAAAGAACAAATAAGCAGGCCAGGGAGACCCTGCTTCTTTTCATATGAGCCATAGGAGCCCCCTCAGCTGGGGGAGGGGGAGCTGTGAGGAAAGGAGTCCTCACGGCTCTTCCTCTTGTAACATAGTCCAGAACCAGTTTCAGAATGTCCACGTGAGTCTCTCCAAGTCATCTTCACTCATCTCCTGGAGACAGCTCCCTAGCATCCTCCACATGGAGACACATCTTAGCAAGCTGACAGGGTCTGCATATGCACCTATTACAAATATGATGAAGGCTTCATTCTTTAACCTTGTTATCTTATCTCTGTGGTTGCATTTGCTAAGGAATTGTGTATGATTTTAACATCCATATGAGGGACTTCTTGTTTAAGTGAGGTTTTCAGGGAACATTTTGGTCTAGAAAGCCAAGCATTGCAAAGACTATTTGGAAGAACGAAAGTTCAGGAATTTCAAAGAAACCAGGCAAAAAAAAAGATGTAAAGTCGGGAGATTCAACAGTATCAGACTTTAAACTATATTATAAGGTAATAGCATTGTTAAATTATAAAATGGATAATTATGATTATTTTTAATTAAATTTTCTTGTATAAATAAAACCAATGTAGCCAAGAATAGAAGGAACGTAGATAATTGGGGGAAAAAACTTTCATAGACAATCTCTCAGATAGGATGTGATTGTATCTGAATTTAGAAAAATATGGAAAGACTTGGACCTATGAAGGAAAATGCTATCCACCTTCAGCAAAAGAGAACAAAAGTGGATATGTACATAGGTCTTACATATATGTGTATGAATGTATATGTGTATATATGTGTATGTGTATAGATATTTATATATATGTGTGTGTGGTTTAAATGTAGCCTTCTGGGGGTTGGGGGGAGGACGGGAATAAAGTAAAAAGTACACAGCAGAGAACAAAAGAAAACCTACAAGGAAGCAAAAAAAAGCTGGGTAGCTTGGAAAATAATGTATAGTATTTATTATATAGATTTTATTGAAATGGAAATTTTATTGTTTTATATTGAATCCTCTCTTATATTCTGCTTTGTACATGGCAATGTTTTTTTTCTTTTCTCATTTTTGTATTTAAGTTTAAAATGAATAAAAAATTTACTAAATAAGAAAGAAAGAAAGAAAGCCAAATGTCTTGTTGTTGTTGCTAACCAACAATAAATATAGCAGGTCCTTTTATTCTCTATTATCTTCAGTCAGTTATGAGACTAGATATCCCCCAGCTATAAAATCTAGTAGTGTCAATGAGGTTCCAGCATCCATGTCTCTAGCTAACCTCCCTATCCCATCAGCAGCAATCAATAAGTAAAAATGTAATAAGCACCTGCTGTGTGCTGGGCACTGTGCTAAAAACCCAGCAAAATCTAAGTTTATAGTTGGTTTCCCACTGTGGAGACTAAGCACCCAAGGGCAGTAGTTAGAGCATCATATAATCCCCAACTCAGGTGTGTTCAGTCCTAATAGAAAAAGCCATCATAACAGAATCCACTTTTGCCTTGGAGGCTCTGCTTATACACTGCTCCCTAAGCTTGCTTGAGAAACTGATCGTCTGACTTGCCCACAGAGGCTGAAGGGAGAGAGCTCCCTCTTCCATTTTGGGCACAGGCGTAAACCAGATTCAAAGCCTACAGGCTGTAACTCTCTCTGACCTAGTCCCCAGCTGACACATGACCACGTAAAGGCCTTCGCACTCAGGTCAAAGAAAGGAGCTCTTTGTCCAAATATTTTCATGACCCACTTGGGAAATTAACCAGGTATAGACTATGTTCTGTTAACACCCAGCTCTCCATTCATCATTTCTCTCCAGTTCCAAAATACATCAGTCATACATCCAAACCAATGCCTTTCCTTCATTAATCACACTACACATTATATACCCACACCCTTCATAATGGGAGGGAAATTGAAAATAAAACCATAAAGGCTCAGTTAGCTCATTCAGCAACGGTTTATTAACCATTTATTATGTGCCAGGTACTTTGTTGATTGCTAGGGATAACCACAGATGATAAAATGGAAAAAAGTATTTGCGATTAGGGAGTTTACATTCTATTGGGGAAAATATGTATATAGAAAATTAAGTACAAAGGTAATTTCGAGGGGGGAAGCTACCAGCAATTGCAGCCAGGGATGTGGGGGGAATGAGAAAGGAAGGGAGAGTATCTATCAGGACAGGCTTCCTGAAGCGGATGGGTCTTAGTTGAGCCTTGATGTAAGCTAGGGATTCTATGTAGTAGAGATGATGAGGGAGTGTATTCCAGGCAAGGAAGAAAACTCATACAATGGCACAAAAACAAGAGATCAGGGAGAATGGGGAAAGGCAAGCAGTCTACTTTGGCTGTCATGCAGCATGTGAGGGAAAGTAATGTGCATTGAGCCTAGGTAGATGAGCTGGAACCCGACCAAGGAGGGCTTTAACAGCCAAGTAGAGGAGTTTGTTATTTTATCCTAGAAGCAAGAGGGAAACACTGGAGCTTTTTGATAAGGGGACTACCGTCATCAGACCTGTGCTTTGGGAATATCAATTTGACAGCTTTGTGGGGGATGGATTGGAGAGGGGAGAGACTGGAGGCAAGGAGACCAATTAAGAGGCTATTGCAATGGTCCAGGAGAGTGGTGATGAGGGCTTGAAATAAGATTATAGCTGCATGAGGAGAGAGAAGGTGGCAGATGCTGTGAAGGTCAACCCAAAGAGACTTGGCAGTTGACTGGATCTGAGAGATAACTAAGAGGAGGGAGTTAAGGACAACTCTGAGGTCATAAACTTGACTGCCTGGATTAATGAAGGTGCCCTAGACAGAAGAGAAAAGCAGAATAGGAAACCCAAAGGAGGCTCCTGGTTTGGCTTAATGACTTTTTTCTTTTTTTATTAATTTATTTTTAGTTTTCAACAATCACTTCCATAAGCTTTTGAGTTTTAAATTTTTCTCCCCCTTCCTCCCCTCCTCCCTCCTCAGGATGGCGCACAATCTGATATAAGGTCTACATAAACGTTTCTATTAAACATATTTTCACATTAATCATGTTGTAAGGAAGAATTAAAACCAAGAGGAGGAACCACAAGAAAGAGGAAACAAAACAAAACAAGGGGAAAAAAAAGAGCAAATAGTATGCTTCGATCTGCATTCAAAATCCATAGTTCTTTCTTTGGATGTGGATAGCATTTTTCATCATGAGACTTTTGAAGATGCCTTAGATCCTTGATGCATTGCTGAGAAGGTATAAGTCTATCAAAGTTAGTCATTGCACAGCGTGGCTGTTACTGTGTACAACGTTCTCCTGATTCTTCTCACTTCACTCAGCATCAGTCCATATAAGTCTTTCCAGGTTTTTCTGAAGTCTGCTTGCTCATCATTTCTTATAGCACAATAGTATTCCATTACACTCATATACCACAACTTGTTCAGCCATTCCCCAATTGATAGACATCCCCTCAATTTCCAATTCTTTGCCACCACAGAAAGAGCTGCTATAAATATTTTTGTACATGTGGGTCCTTTTCCCATTTGCATGATCTCTTTAGGATACAGCCCTAGAAGTGCTATTGCTAGGTTAAAGGGTATGCACATTTTTATAGCCCTTTGGGCATAGTTCCAAATTTCTCTACAAAATGGTTGGATCATTTCACAACTCCACGAACAATGCATTTGTGTTCCAATTTTCCCACATCTTCTCCAACATTTATCATTTTCCTGTTTTGTCATTTTGGCCAATCTGATAGGTGTGATGTTGTACCTCAGAGTTGTTTTGATTTGCATTTCTCTAGTCAATAGTGATTTAGAGCATTTTTTCATATGACTATAGGTGGATTTAATGTCTTCATCTTAAAACTGCCTGTTCATATCCTCTGACCATTTATCAAGTGGGGAATGACTTGTAGTCTTATAAAGTTGACTTAGTTCTCTATATATTTTAGAAATGAGGCACTTATCAGAGACTCTGGTTATAAAAATTCTTTCCCAGTTTTTTGCTTCCCTCCTAATCTTGGTTGTTAATGACTTTTTTCTCTCTCTCTGTTTCTTCCTTTTAGTTTTTCCCTTACATTTTGTTGCTGCTAGCTATACTGTTGTACATGCCTACATTGTTTTGGCGTTTCACTGCGGCCCCTCACCTTTGTTCAGATATGAAGTTCATTATGGAGGAACTTGACAAAGTTTACAACCGGGCTATCAAAGCTGTGAAGAGTGTTCGTGGTGTTGATGTGAGAGATGGTGCCAGCCCATTTGTGGGTGTGACTGAGAATATTGGGCAAAGGTAAGATTGCATGGGGATTCTAACAGGCTCTTGGTATGTGGGGACCAGGTCTCCCTCTGACAGTCTCTTTCTCCATCCCTGAGGCCTAGACCAACTTAAAACCAGTCTTTAGAAATCTCTGTCTATCTCATCCACCGGTAATAATGCCTGCTTTTCTGCCACTAGAATCTTGCTCCTTCCTTTAGGTTAAACAATCAGGGATAATTTGAGAAGGTATTGATGCTTTTAAAGTATGAATTAGTTTATCAAGTTGCTTGCTATTTTTCTTCCACATTATAGCAACTCTCTTTGGTGTCATGGTGTATATTTAAATATACACACACAACACACATGGGTGTATGGATGTGTATATGTATATATACATGCATATGCACACACATATTAAAAATACACATGTGTGTATACATATATACAAATGTATGCATATATATGTATGTATGTGTATGACATTTTTTCCTTTTCTCTTCTTTTTCAATTGTGAGGACTCAGGCAATTGTACAATTAGGTCTCAATTAGTGTGAATAATGAATCCCCTGAAATGTTTGCGAGCAATGACCACACCTCTCCCCAGATCACACCATCTTGGAAGCACTGAAAACTTCCAAACCCTGAGAAGTGTCTCTGAAAACAACAGTGGGAAAAAGCCTAAAGGTTGAGACAGTGCCCCACAAACACACATACATACACATACACTATTCAAAGTTATAATAATATAAAATATAGCAATTGGTTCCAGTCTAATAGAAATATGGATTGTGAATTTGAATAATGGGAATACTTTTAAGGATTCATTGTTCATACTTTTACGCTAATCAGGACCTGGCTGTATTCTTACCAGCCCTTGTTTATATGCATTCCTTCCTTGGCCTACTATACCTACGTCTTTTAGTTGCCTTTTTTGGGATAAAATAATAAGACATTGCTCTACTCTTCAGTGTTTGGGTTTTGCCTTGAACAAGAATGGCACTGTCTTGATTGTTGGATCCCATCATGTCACAGTAGGAGAAGCACTGACCTTGGAGTCAGAAGACCTGGGTTGGAGTCCCAGCTCTCTTACACACTCACCATGCGGCCTTTCAAAGTTACCTACCTTCTTTGAGCTTCACTTTCTTCATTTATGAAATGAGCATCTGAACTTGATGTTTTCTAAATTCCCTTCTGTCTTCAAAAGGGCCGACTTTAGTGACAAAAAGTGTATGAATCACAGTCCTTCTTATAAAATATACTATGGATTATTGGGACCCAATGTGGTGGAGCAGAAAAAGGACTCAGCTGAGCTCTCCCAACATTGCCCTCCAAACAACTTTAAAATAATGCCTCAAGTCAAATTCTGGAATGGCAGAGCTAACAAAAGGTCAGACTGAAATATTTTTTCAGCCCAAAACAACTAAAAAAATGGAAAAGAGAGATCTGTGACACGTGGGTGGAGGCTGGCCTAGAATCCACATGGATGAAACACCAGTGGTAGGACTAGCTGTGGCAACAGAAGCAGCAGCAGCTTTGGAGCTCTCAAGAGAGAGAGGGTAAGGGGACCTGGTAATTGGTCAGAAAGAGATATAGGAGACTCTTGTGCTAACACTGGATGCAGGACCAGACACTCTTTGGCAGATCCATTGCTTATTCCCACTTCTGGGTTCAAGGGCAGAGGTAAACACTTTGGGCCAAGACGGAGCAGAAAATCTGAGGAACATTATTATTTCTGGTCCCAAAGGAATAGGGGCCTTGAGTCTCTTGTATTGATTGCAATTACAGGGGATCAGGGACCTTTCTGGTAAGGACCAGAGGGCAGACCAGGAGAGCAGTGACCACACCTCTCCCCAGATCACACCATCTTGGAAGCACTGAAAACTTCCACACCCTGAGAACTATCTCTGAAAACAGCAGTGGGAAAAAACCTAAACGTTGAGACAGTGCCCCACAAACACACACACACACACACACACACACACACACACACACACACACACGGAACAGAGCCCAACTTTAACATGAAGCAGTAATCACCAAAACAATCTTACTGGATAAGAAATAGAGTGGTAGATTGGCGGAATAGACTAGGAATGCAATACACAGTGGTAAGTGACCGTAGTAGTCTAGTGTTTGATAAACCTAAAGATTCAAGCCTTTGGGATAAGAACTGAGCATTTAACAAAAATTGCTGGGAAAACTGGAAAGCAGTTTGGCAGAAACTAGGCATGGTATACCAAGATAAGGTAAAATGGATAAATGGTTTAGACAGAAAGGGTGATATTGTAAGTAAATTAGGGGAATGTGGATAAATGTACCTCTCAGATCTATGGATAATAGAATTTGTGATCAAAAAAGAGATAAAAGGGAATCACAGGAAGTAAAATAGATAATTTTGATTACATGAAATTAAAAAAAGCTTTTGCACAAATAAAACTAATACAGTCAAAATAAGAAGGAAAACAAAACTGTGGGAAAAATTTTGTATCAGATTTCTCTGACAAAGGCCTCATTTCTCAAATATGTAGGAAACTGAGCCAAAATTACAAAAAATAAGAGCTATTCCCCATTTGATAAATGGTCAAAGGATATGAACAGGCAGTTTTCAGAGGAAGAATTAAAGCTATCAACAGTCACATAAAAGTATTCTAAATCACTATTGATTAGAGAAATACAAATTAAAACAACTCTGAAATACCATCTCAAGCCTATTGGATTGGCTAACATGACTGAGAAAGAAAATGACAAATGCTAGAGGGAATGTGGAAAAATAGGGACACTAATTCACTGCTGGTGGAGTTGTGAACTGATCCAACCATTCTGTAGAACAATTTGGAAGTATGCCCAAAGGACTATAAAACTGTGCATACCCTGTGACCCTACAACAATACCACTAGGTCGATATCTCAGAGATCAAGGAAAAGAGGAAAGGACCTATGTGTACAAAAATATTTATTGCAGCTCTTTTTGTGGTGGCAGAGGATTGGAAATCGAGGGAATGCCCATCAGTTGGGAAATGGCTGAACAAGCTGTGGTTTATAATTGTGATGGAATACTATTGTGCTATTAGAAATGATGAACAGGATGGTTTCAGGAAAACCTGGGAAGACTTAACGTGAACTGATGCAAAGTGAAGTGAGCAGAACCAGGAGAATATCATACACAATAATAGCAATATTGTAAAGATGATCGTCTGTGAAAGACTTAGCTACTCTGGTCAAGATAATGATCCAAGACAATTCCGAAGGACCCATAATAAAAAATACTATCCACCTCCAGAGAAAGAACTGATGAATTCTGAATTCAGATTGAAGAGTACTTATTTTTACTTTCTTTATTTTTCTTATTTTATTTTTTGTCTTTTTTTTTTGCAACATGCCTAATATGGAAATACATTTTGCATGACTTCACATGTATGATCAATATCAAATTGCCTGAGGCAGGGGGCGGGAGGGAGGTAGAGAACTTGGAACTCAAAATATTAAAAAATGTTTGTTAAAAATTTTACATGTAATTGGTAAATAATGAAATAAGTAAAAATATACTTAAAAATAAAGTAAGCTCTGCAATATTTAATGTAGGGTCACCATTTCTTTGACCACATCTATTCATGCCCTTATAAAGTTGTAGCTTTGGTTCATTACATAATAGCATTGAATGTATGAAAGTGTAGACCCATCCCACCTATTCAATGAGGTTCTAATTCAATTTTTACTTAATCATTCTAATTTCTCTTTTCTCTCGTTCTTTTTTTTTCTTTAAAGTCTCTGGGAAATCTCTGAAAGCCATTTCAAATACCCAATAGTGGAACAGTACTTGAAGACAAAGAAGAAGTCAAAGAACTTAATAGTCAAGTACCTCATCTGCCGGGCCGTGACCTTCATAATTATCCTGCTGGCCTGTGTCTACCTGGGTTATTACTTCAGCCTTTCCTCCCTGTCTGATGAGTTTGTCTGCAGCATCAAGTCAGGAATCCTGAAGAATGACAGCACAGTTCCGGAGCAGATTCAGTGTAAGCTCATTGCAGTTGGGATTTTCCAGCTCCTCAGTTTCATTAACCTGGTGGTTTATGCTCTGCTGGCTCCCGTGGTCGTGTACACATTCCTCGTTCCCTTTAGACAGAAGAGCGACGTTCTCAAAGTCTATGAAATCCTGCCCACCTTTGATATCCTGCACTTCAAGTCAGAAGAATACAATGACTTGAGCCTCTACTATCTTTTCCTGGAAGAAAATATAAGTGAACTTAAGTCCTTTAAGTGTCTTAAAGTCTTGGAGAACATTAAAAACAACAGTCAGGGGATTGACCCCATGCTACTCCTGTCTAATCTTGGGATGATCAAGACTGATGTCGTAGATGGTAAAACTACCAAGCCTGCAGACAAAAAGGGAGCAGAACCTGGGAATGATGCAATAGAGCTCAACGGTAGGGATGTCTTTAAGGTCAGCAGTGAAGGGCAGCCGCCAGAGTACTGGTAGCTACTCTTTCTGGGGTAGACATAGATATTATCACCACCTTTATTGAAAGTTCAAACTATATTTTAGTGTTATTTTAGGTGAAGACAATAAGGAGTGTGGAAGAGGACAGGAATGGGCATTTCCTGGTAGGAAAGAGGAGAGGTCCAGTATCATCCTAAAGACTTCTAAAGAGGAGGCACCCACAGAGCCCCTTTCACTTTGCCTCCTTTCATCTTCCTTTTCTCTTTCCCAGCTTCTCTGCCTCCCTATCTCCTATATGCCTATTTATCCATCTGTCTTTCTATATTTCTATATAGCATATAATATAGCATATAGTGTAATACATATATGTAATATATATTATCTAGCTATATTTCCATCTATAACCAAACCATATCTATATATCTATCTATATCTACCCATATCTATAATTATCTTTATATAACTCTTTCTCCCATCTATCTTCCATATATCTATCTGTATCTATATTATATCTTTCTCTATCAATCTCTGTATCTATCTTACATATTTATATCTATCAATCTCTAGGTCTACCTGTATCTATATCTGTCTTTATATATATATATATCTTTCTATCTTTCTTTCATCTATCTTCTATTTATCTCCTGTCTTTCTTTTTCCTACCTATCTATGCATATGTGTACCCCTCCCATTCTGGGGCTTCCACACTCCTCCCAGGTCTGAGGATCTCTCCAGCCTTCAGTGAAACCGTTAATTATGTCTCAGCCAAGCACTGACGCAGTTGTGTTTTGTCTGCCTCTTGAAGTGGAGGTAGGACTTGTGGTATGGTCAAAATTGACTAAAAACAAAATTTAAATTCTAAAATTTGCTTAAATCATTTGATACTTCTGGAAAAACCAAGCCAGATCTGTTGAAGTTGACGTGTAACTATGAAGATATGCTTATTTGTATGTAAACCTTCTGTCTGTCTAGTGAGTCTTTGTCAGTGTAACAGATTTCACAATTACCCACATACTTCTATAATGGAGGGAACAAATTTCAGATTATTGACAAAGGGGGCAAATCAAAGGGTAGTTGGCCAACCACCTAGAGTTCATATACGCTTCCTCTGCCCCAGCTAGCTCTATTTGCCTCATCAGCCTACCAACTGCTCAATTAAGCTGACTAAAAGACAAAATTTAAGTTCTCAAATTGGTTAAATACTTTGATAATTTTGGGAAGCTAAGCCAGATCAGTTTTCATGTTTTCAAAAATAACCTGTTTTCAGTTTCCATAATTCTGGTAGAAACTTTTAGTGATTTTTTTTAAAGACATTGGATAGTGACAGCTAACCTTAGACTCAAAAGGGTCAAAGTTCTCATATAATTGTTGATTTGAATGATTGTCTGGGGATGACTTACATATGCTTAAAAATGCCCAAAAGCCAAAACCTGGTAAAGTAAAAGGGGACCTTTTGCAGAGTCCATCCAGATCAGTTAAGAGAAAAGCAGCTTCTAGAGGTTGAGACTAGTTCCCTTCAATTAATGCTGCCAACTAAAATGTGGGGTTTTTGTTTTGTTTCAGTTTTGACAGATCAGGATTTAAGCAACGAAGCGAAAGCAAACAATGAAGAGAAGAAAATTCGCCAGAGACTTCTAGAGTCTTCACAATGACCCTTTCCCTCTAACTTTCAGTGTTGTGATTTTTATGATGAGTAGCATCCCAATTACGGTACAAGCCTTGCTGATTAGAGAAGTCAAAGGGTCAGGCTTTTACCCACCTTGGATCGGGCCCAGCTCATGACAGGTGCCCATTTGGTGAGGATGGCAAGGAACTGATCTAGTGTCTGCCCTGGGATGATGAACTCAAAGATTCTCAGTATTGTGAGCAAGAGGCAAAGAACATATTGAATAAACTCCCTGAGAGCTAAGCAGACTGCCTCAAGTGTAGCTACTAGAACCATTTTAATACATAAATAATGTAGTTAAGGTATAAAAAGAAGTGGCCCTGGCAAGAGATCTAGAGAAAAGCCGTTCTGTGGAAGATAATGGTGATCAACTCCGGAGGAACACAAAGAACTTACAAAAAATAAAAACCAAGTAAGGATATCAGGAAATATTAAGCTCCTGGGGTACTTAATAATCACTGTTGGACCATAAAGCGTCCTACAAGGTATATATGAATGGCGAGTGGGCAGAAAAACTGACTTTGGGGATAATAAAAATTAGACTCTATTGTTAAAGCTTTTGTATTACATTTTAGGTTTTTTGGTCTCCTTAATTTAAGCAGTTTCTAGATCAGACTTGTCTAATGCCTTCAACAAAGGCTTTAGTTTGGTTTTTTTTTTTTTTTGGCAACAAAATGTTATGAAACAAACATTTAAGTCAAGAAGTCCAAGGTGTAGGGAACACTAACCTGAAAGAGGCTAGTTAAAATAGAGACAAAATAACTTAGTAAGCCCACATCTGAATGACTCCAAATACAGCCTTGCTTTAAAAACCCAGGCACAGACATCCAAACTGACAAAGTAGAAAACTACAGGAAAGAATATTTCGTGTTGCAAAGGGAACCACTTCCCCAAAGGGAATTCCTGCAGGGTTTCTTCAAATCTTGAGCTCACCTAATGCATTTAAGATATGATTCAATTGAAATATAATTTGAAGGGGGCATTTCTTTAGCTTAAAAGTGAGCCAAGCCTGAATTGGATTTCTGTCAGGAAGCATTAAGTAATCCCTGTGAAAATATGTCACTTTAGGAAAGGATTCAAGTCGTGGTACTAAACCCATTTGGCTACTCGTTTTCCAGAAATATTTTATAGACAGTTTTTAAATAATAATAGGTACAGACATGCTATGTACAGGTAGGTAGATGAGGTAATTCTTTCAGATGAGAATTCAAAGCCATCGTGGGGAACCTGTGGTCTCGAAGCCACATGTGGCCCTCTAGGTCCTCAACTGTGGCCTTTTGACTTGAGTCCCAAGTTTTACAGAACAGATCTTTTTATGAAGGGGTTTTGTTCTGTGAAGTTTGGATTTAGTCAAAGGGTCAAAGTTCCCCACCCCTGGTGTAGATCTTACCTCCATTTAAATTTTATGATATAAATCCTTTTAAAAATTGTATTTGTGAACCTCTCGTTGTGATCTTGACGGTAAGCCATGTTTATAGTTAGAAGTGAACAGTGGTTTTTAGTTGAGCAAACCTGAATCTTCACTAGTCAGGCCTGGTTGTTCACCCAGTGTAATTGTTTATGGAACAGTTGCATAAATCACAGTGTCTGCCTCTCATAGTTTTTAAAAAAATAGATTGATTTTTCTGTGACTGGAGTTCTGGAATAGCTGAAGATGTGCATTAAGAAGTCAGTGTTAAAAACCTTTTTCCGGTTTTTTTTTCCATTTCATGATACTCTTTGAGTTTGTAGTACCACCTTTTAGAATGTATTTCGCTGTGACCTTTGACAGGTTGATAGCTTGGTCTCCGTACGTTACATTACCATGTATGTGTTTGTACCAGAGATGCTCCAGCCCAACTCTCCTGATGATAGGAGCATGGTTTACAGTATAAATATGTTTTTTTAGAGAATCTCATGTGTCCCCCTCATGCAGCCTGTTTTAGTCTTATTTTCAGAGTTTTAAATACCAACATACTACCCTTACCGATGGCTGTAGGTTCTCTGGGGCTGGCAGAGGAAACTAGCTAAATGTTCTGGACGTGGAATCAGGAGAAATATGAACTGGGAGATCTTGGGCAAATCACTTAACCTCTTTGAGCCTCATTTACCTAATCTGTAAAATGGGCATCAAAATTTCATAGTGTTAATAATAATATCTCACTGGGCTGTTGAGAAGATCAAATGAGATATTGTATATTAAGTGCTTTATAAGCCTTAAAACAGGTTTACCATTTGTCTCACCTCTTTTTTTTTGTACAGCCCACGAGCTAAGCATGGTTTTTACATTTTCATTTTCAAATGTAAAATTATTATTTAAAAAAAATGTTAAAAAAAAAACATGCTTAGCTCCTGGGGCATACAAAAATCAGAAGGGCTGGCTAGGTGGACCCTTGCCTTAAAGCACTATACCTAATGAATTTTATTATTTTATCCATTACTACCAACCAACGTTAAATTGTTTTGAATTTTGCCTTCTGTTATTTCTCTCTGACCACTTTCTGGCCAGAGGTGCTAATGAGTAGGAAAGAGGAAGGCAGAGGATGGAAGAAGAAAGAAAGAAGCAGGAACAAAAGTCTCCTCCTCTCTTAACCTCTCTCCAGGTAGTTTGAATAGCTCTGGGTGGTTGGCTCCATCACATCTATGAAAAGCCCATCTCTACAATGTGTAGAGACTCTTTACCACTTAGGGGGAGATGCCACAGATGGGTTACCTCCTTTGTAAAGGATTGTGTGCTGTCCCGTACCTTCCATCATTTCTCCAGAGTTCCATGTGCTTTGACTAGCAACATAGGATTTTATCTAGTGGCCGGTTCCTAGCCAGTCTTGATTCACAGGTTCCTAGAGCTCGAAGGGACCTTAGAAGTCAATAGAGTTCTACATTCTCATTTTAAAGATGAGGAAATTAAAGCCTAGAAAAACTAGGTGACTTGTCCAGGGTCATCCACTAAGTGGCAAAACCCTTGAACTCAGATCCTGTGCCACCAACATTAGCCCTCTTTCCACTATATCACGATGATTCCAACTGGTAGTAGAACAATAATGATTTTGAGTAAAATCTTTTTGCTGTAGAAAAATTAAGTAATTTCCACATGTTTTGAACCTTCTTTTTCTTTACTTTCAAGGATGTGGAAAAAATCTGCTCATTCTGCAGAGGAATGTTTGAAGCTTTCTACAATGGGACTTGCCCAAATGTGGGAAACCCTTTAGAGCAGGGATGGGGACCACGCGGCCTCAAGGCCACATGTGGCCCTCAAGTGCGGCCCCTTGACTGAATCCAAACCTCACAGAACAAATTCCCTTAATAAAAGGATCTGTTCTGTAAAACCTGGGCTCAATCCAAAGGTCCACACCCAAGGACCTAAAAGGCCACATGTGGCCTCAAGGCCGCAGGTTCCCCACCCCTGCTTTAGAGCCATTATCTCTGCCCTGAATGAAACAGATGGAACCATATTTGCCCAGGTGGGAATGAGTTAAGCAGCTTTTTTAAAGGCCAAATCCAAGTTCTGAAAATCTGATCCTTACGTAATCATAGGTTCATTGTTCTGTTTATTTGGCTGAACCCAAGCCACAGGTGATGGCATTTGTATTATTTTAAGATCCTATTTCCCGTGAGTTGAGGCTTTGGTTTGCAATGGCCTTTGGTGATTCTTTGTACTTGGGCAAAACTAATGTAGTTATTTGTAATTCTGTGAAAACTACCGGGTTTCTGCATGTAGGTAGTGAAGTGTCTTATATTCTCTGCATTGGGACATCTGCAAGCCATCAAGGACCATTTAATGTTTAGACCATGACCGACCATGAAGACTTGAAATTTTGAAGGCCATGGAAATTACATGGACTGATCTCTGAGGGAAAGGAGGTTAATTGAAATTTTCCATTTCCAGAAATTAAATTGTTCTCTCTGAATAATGTTCTTGGTAGTAATACCATTTCCCCCCACAACTTTATGTCTATCCTTTTTTTTCAAAAAACTATGAGATTGGCATAGTATCATGATGTATGATTACTAGTAATTAACTCCAAGTGACCACTGTATAATGTGCTTTAAATTGGATGGTTTCTTTTGTTTTTTGTTTTTTTGCTTCTTATGTTCCCATCTCAACTGTAAAGATAATTTGCCATTTATAGTGTGAGGCTTGATAAAGTAAATGATTTCTTTGGGAAGTCTTTTCAAGTTTGCCACGAATTTCTTTAGTCTTTTGCTCTGTCTACCAGATGGAGGAATATATTTTAGGTAACAGGTGGTACAGTATAACAGGTATTCAGTATATAATGTTAGACCTATGAGTGACTCTTGTGCTTTGGGGGGAAAATATCGTGTTAAAATTTACTTATAGTTCTATCAGTCTTGCAGGTTAAAGGTCTGTTTCAAAGTGGTGCTCTTGACCAGGGCTTTTGGTTGGCATTGCGTGACCTGAGGGCATGCACAATGCAAAGTCTGCATGCTTTGTGTTCAGAACCAAGGCTGCAGTGAAGTTGCATGATGCAATGCAGGGAAGCGCTTTCAGAAACACCTCAGATCTATTACATGTTTGATTTTAAATTAATTTTTGTTTGGAAACCTTTTACTGTTGCCAAATTTTTTGTGACCCACAGTTTAAGAAGCACTGTGTTGACTTGAATTCTCCAAGTACTAGCAGCGTTTCCCAAATACTGCTCTTCAGAACCTGATGCTCTACTTAATGAGACTGGGGGCTCCAGAACACAATGTCAATACTACTGATGTTTCCCCCTATAAAATATTAAGTATGAAATTACCTTCATATCCAAAACAATAATTATTCTATACAATAATCTTTTGGATATGGAAGTAGGTTTAATTTGTTCTTTTTTTCTGCCAAATCTCCCTGGCCTTTTTTTGTGGAAATATTTTATACCTCCAGATGCCCCGGACCACCATTTATGGATCCCATCAGTATATTTTGAAGTCCAAAGTGTTCACTAAGCAAATTAATTTGAGAAATGTTGTACTCAGTTGTTTTTTTTTTTAACTCTGAAAGAAAGATTATTTTTTCTGTATGTCCTTTGATAAAGATGACCCCAGCAGACAGGGAGAGGATAACAGCTTAGGACCTTGTAAGTCTCTCTCTCAAAAAGAAAAAAAAATGCGGCACTCTTCCTCCCCCCCCAAAAAAAAACCCAACACATTTTTTTGAAATATCTCTTCACAAAACACAAATGTCTTTAAAACACTGCAATATGATGTTTATAGATACTAATACATTGCTTATGTGCTTGAAAAGGTCAATAACTAACCTCTGCAAACTTCTATTAAAAAGTGGTGAGAGACTGAAAATGAGATGGAAATAAGATATAAATAAGGCTGCTATGTTTACAGAGAAAGATTAAACATAATGTTGTAATTTTGTGCTGTCAAATTTCCCCCTCCCCAAGTAAAAGTTTTCCAAAGAAACAAAGTGTGCATGTGTGCTCATGTATGTATCATACTTTCTTTTTTATTAATTAATTTTTAGTTTTCTATACTCACTTCCATAAGATTTTGAGTTCTAAATTTTCTCCCCCTCCCTCACCTCTCTCCTTCCCATGATGATGTGCAATCTGATATAGGCTCTACGTATACATTCATATTAAATATTTAACATTAGTCATGTTGTAAAGAAAAATTAGAGCCAATGGGAGGAACCATGAGAAAGAAGAAACAAATTTTTAAAAAAGAGAGAGAGAGCAAATAGTATGCTTCAATCTGCATTCAGACTCTGTGGTTCTTTTTCTGGATAGCATTTTCCATCATGAGTCTTTTGGAGTTGTTTTAATCTTTGCATTGCCATACTTTCTTCACAATGGAAATCATGTTCATGGACTTTGTGAGAAGACACGCATAGCCCGTCTGCCCCCCTGCTCTCCCAATTGAATCTCAAGCACCCAGGATTTTCAGAAACCCAGCTGACAATAACTAAAAAAAAGAAAGCCCCTGATTAAAGATCCCAGATCATGGAATTTCTAAGGCTTAAATTACAGGATTTTTGATTGGGAATTTTATTGCTGGGCTAGATGAGAAGGAGGTAGAGAATATACCTTCAGCTGCCAGGAATCATTCATTCAGCTTTTCTCTCAAAAGGGGGACATAGGTTTCATGGTGGTCACTGAACATCTTTCAGCCCCTTCCTGCACCCTCAGAGATGATCCCCCAAAACCCAAACTGACCTTGCTTCCTTTGGTTTGGGAAGAGAAACTCCATGTGGGATGTCAGCTTGAAGTCTCCGTGCACATTTCAATGATGCCCTTGGGTTCTTCCATTACCTCCCCTCAGGTACAAGCACCTGCCCAATTGGACAGATTGAAGT